TGGCGTGATGCACCCATAGTAATTGTTATCCCAGTTCTATATTTGGGTGGTGACACATTTTCTTTCCACTTGTTCAGTCCTCATGACCTTCCCAAGCAGGGTAGATGGGCATGCTGACAGAGTCTGTTGCTTCTTTTATGAATGAGACTGCTACACTCACACACCGGACAGCGCCAGAACTCAAGACCAAGTTCAAGTCCTCGGTCTGGTTCTTTCTGCCCCTCTGTGCTGTCTCCCAGAGCGAAATGACAGTGGGCAGGGGCCCTCACCCAGACCTTGCCCCCTCCTTTCCATCACGCCTGGTCGCCTCTCCCGGCTGCACCCAGGTGTGGGAGGCAGTGTGTGCCTCACTGTACAGGCCCCTGCAGGTCCCCAGGTGGGGCCAGCCCCGAGTGTCACCCTGCCAGCCCCACCCTTGCACAGGATCAGCTGTGCCTCATGCTCCTTATTTGCATCCATGTCCCCCACCAGCTGCTTGTGCTGCCAGCTTCCCCAGGGTCCCTGCTGCCCAAGCAGTCCTGGTAAATCTCTCTGACTGGATTCTAACGCAGCCCTGCAGGTAACTTACCAGCCCACTGCCTATCCTGGCTTCCTCTGCCTGTGTGGTGGGGCAAAGGCAGGTGAGGGAGGGGCTCTGAGTCCTGGCAGGTTCTGTGGCTCTGAATAGCCACCGGATGTCCCAGGTGGTGGGAACACAGCATAACCTGAAGGCTTGAGCACCATGGTGGGTGGGAATCTCAGAAGCACCGAGGCTCACACTCTGACCCTGCTGTTACCCACCATTCCTTAGCCTTCCGGAGACTCAGTTTCCTCACGATGCAACCTAGTGCTAATGGGTGCTAAACTCACTAGGTGCTCAGTAAATGGCATTATTTTTAAACCGCAGCCATGCAAGGCTCACAAAGCCGCAAGGGTCATCCAGTTATTGGACACCTATCATGTGGGAAGCCCTTGACCTCCAACCTTTTACGGGAAGGAACAGAAGTTTAAGAGCTAAGGGCCACATAAGCAGTGGTAGGCAGGGGCAGCGTGGCCTCTGTGACAAGGTGAGGTCGCCCTTTGGTTTCTGAGGACTAAAGGGGCCAGGGTGGTGGCCACCCATGGGCCTTTGGGTCCTCATGGACAGAGGACTCCAAGTCACTGTTAGGCAGAGGCCAGCAATGGCTGACTCCACACTGGGGAGAAAAGGGGTGGCAGGACGTTGAATTGGGGCCTGGAACCTAAGCTCCCCTGAGGGTTTCAGTCAGGTCCCAGGACCAGGAGGGGTAATTTAAGTAGTCACCATGGGCATTGTTTCTCTGTGGGGGGCCTTGAGGCTTACCTAGACCCAGGATGAACCCCCGCCCCACCTCCTCCATGTTCTCTGGAAGCCCTGAGCCCGGGGGAGGCTCTGGGGAGTATCAGTGAGGGTCCTGGGGAGGTACTGCCCAGGTGAAGGGCATCCAGGGAGCACTAGCCACACACACTTGCTGGGACCTCTGCCTCCCTCTGGGTCCTGCATGACTGTCCCCAAAGTTGAGGCCAGCTCTGCCCTGTGCAGCATTACTGCAAGATACCCCTCACTGCAGTCTCTGGGCATATTTTGGGGTTCTACTCAGATCTGGGGTGCTCACACTTGGGGTTTCCACAGCCGTAAGGCTGCCCCAGAGCTGACCAGCCCTGGCCTGAGCTACAGGGGTCCCAACATTGTGTAGGGCAGGTCCTGCAGCCTACATCCTCCCTCTGCTGCTGGTCTGATTGGCTGGAGCCAAGGGGTATGACCAAGAATGGCCCTGCCCCAAACATAACACATTAGGCAGAAATCCTAGCACAGTAGGCTCCGTGCCCCAGTCCATCTCCACCAGCATCCAGGGGATCTGGTCACTCGCAGGCTCCCGTCAAAGTCAAATGCACAGTCTTTATATAGGCCAACAGGGTCCTATGTGCCCCCGTCTCTACCTTTCCAGGATCTCCCACACTCCGCCCTGACTTCTCTGCCAGCCTCCCTAGTAGGCAGTATCTGCCCCACAAGGCCTTTGTACAGGCAGTACTCTCTGCCGGGGATGCCTGCCTCCCATTGTGACTGGCTACCTCCTAAGTGTCCTTCCAGGTACAACTTCAGGGTGGTCCCAAAGGAGCCTTCCCCACCCACCATCCTCCAAAGCAGCCCTGCTCTGTCCAGCCCCCACTGAGGTTTCACCCAGCTCTGCGCACTGTCACTCCTTGCAATGTCTTGTTCCTTTATTCATATTTAGTTGTTTACCGTCTGATACCCTGTATGTGACTCAGTGAGAACGAGACCAGCCCCCCTCTGGTGGCTCTTGTCTGTGTACTTTAGGCTTACAGTATGCTTTGTCAGTGGGTCTGACTTTGTTGTTGTTTTGGAGACAAGGTCTCACTATGAAACCAAAGGCTGGCTTTGAACCTGTGATCCTCCTGTCTCCCTGAAGTGTTTGCTATCTGAACCGCCATGATCATTTCTTGAGTACCTGCTGCATGCCAGGTTCTGTGCTATGTGTGTTATGTCTGGTAGTCTGGTTCCTCTTAGAGGAGTCTTGGCCCTTCACTCACTGGGGTGGTGAGACCTGCTCACAAAGTTGTGTGGGGGCCAAGCAGTCTAAAGGAAGGCCTAGGACACACACTTCAAGGTCTCCTCTCTCTTTGAGAAACTCATCACTTTGGAGCTGTGTGCCTTTGAGCCTCCACTTATCAGTAAAAAGGGGACCAGAGAGTCCAGCTCAGGGATGGCGCTGGTCAGAGGCTGTCCTGCACCAGCACCCATCACTTCTCATTCTGCCACCATCCCTCTCGGTGTGGAGGAGACACGGCTGCACCTGGCTCCCCACTCAGTCCTTCACACACACCAGCCCTCTTCTGCCTTTTCACTCTTACACATTGACGTAAGTGCTGCTGAATCATGAAGCTGAGGTTTGAGAGTGAGATAAAGAAAGCTGCACCACACACACACACACACACACACACACACACACACACACACACACACACACACGGCCGTCCCCTGCGGGGGCAGCATCTGCACTGATCCATCCCAGGCCTGGCTGGAGTGCAGCACCCCGGGGCTTTTGCGTCCCCTTCTGTGTGTTAGGATGGATTTTTTAAATGACTCAGAAAGGGAGGAAGGGGCCAGCTCCAAGGCATACGCCCAGGGGCCTTCATTCCTAGCTGTACCTCTCAGGTTTCACACGGGGAGCGAGTTTCTGTATGCAGCAGCACTGGCGTAACGAAAATGGGATTTTAAAACATTTTTCATAGTAGGAAACCCCCCGAGGATGTTGTAAACCACCTGCTAATTCCTCCCCATTGAGGAGGATCTGGTTCCTCATCTGTAAGATGGGGTGTTAACAGTACCGAAATCAAAAGGTGAAGGTCGAGCGCTTTAACTAAGTGCCTGGGGATCCAGACCTTCAGAGCTATGTATTCCTGGCAGCAGCAGTGGGGTCCTCGCTCACCGTGCGCAGTGGTACACGGCCTCTGACACGTCGTGGCTGGTACCAACTGTGCGCCCTCCTTTGTCTCTACCCTGGGTTCCCATGTGTAAGACGGGGGTGGGGGGCATCCAAGCATTGAACAGGGTGGTGGGTGGCACAGTAGCCTGGCACACAGGTAGGGCTCACCGGGGTCTGCAGTTATCACTAGTACCTGGTCCAGTTCTCTAGAGGCCACCCAGAGGGGTTAGGAAGAAGGATCAGGGTAGTCTACACAGCAGAGGGAAGGGCACAGGGTGAGGGGCGTTAAAAAACAAAATAAAGAAAAGCAGCGCTGTCTTGGAAGTGGGGACATCACCACCTTCCCTCCTGCCTCACTACATTCAAGGTTGATGGCCAAAGCTCTGAGGGCCTCAGTCTCTCCGGCCATCCTGAGGGGTGAGTCCCTTAATCCCCAAGCCGAGTCCAGGCTGCTACCCCTCTGCTGCTCTTCCAAAGCTGAATGAAAGGTATCATTAACTATTAGGCCATCACATCACGCTTGTGTCCTGGGCTTCCAAGGGCCACACTGACTCCTCAAGATGAGAACCTAGACCTAACCCTAAACCTGGCAATGACTCAGTCTCAGTCACCAAGTGTTACCCGTCTGTCAGGAGGAGCCAGAACCCCCCCCTCCCCTGTCTGGAGCACTTTTTTGGCGCTGTGGGCCCAGGACCAACCTCCCCACCCGCTCCTGAGGGCATGGCCACCTCCAGGCCCACACAGCCTGCCCATTTTCGGGGCAGAAGCTGAGGCCCAGGGAGGCAGAGGGGATTGCCCAAGCCGCCTAGCGGGCCCTCCTGCCACCACAGACCACAAAGCCTCTTTCTGGCTTCACGCTGTGTGCTCACCAAGAAGTACACGCGACAGAACAGGCAGGAAGCACGAAGTGGGACTTAACCCCGTGTCCTCCTCATTCTATCCCAACTGTGCCTCTGTGGGGGAAGCGAGTTTCAGCACGCCACTCTCCTCCTTCCAAAAACTCACCGGGCCTCCACCCCACCCCCGTCCTCTTCCTGGAAGTTGTTGTGGTCATACAAGCAAAGAAGTTTCCTTTCTGTCATCCATTTCAAGCAGATTCTGGGTGGGCAGCCAAAAAGGCTGGAGACAAACGGCCCAGCCCTCGGTATGCTCTGTCACAAAACGGGCACAAGGGCCAGTGCTGGATTCCCAGGGCTGTCTGTAAATCACTGAGAGCAGGCCAGGCACATCACCAGCTCGGCCTGGAGTGGCCATCTTACCAAACACACGCCAAAACTAGAATCAACGGTTTCTGTCCCCAGAGAGTGCTGGGTGGGGCCCAGCCACCCCAGGCACCCCCACAGCCCCTCCAGTGGCTAGGCCAGCTTGAAGACCCGTCTCCCAGGGACCTGCCCAGAACCCACAACGACTTGACTTCCAGCAAAGCGCACTCTCTAGAAACCTTGTGTTTTCTTTAAAAAAAAAACTTTCATAATAAAGTTTATTACCTAAACTGAGTGTAAAAAATATCAAATAGGATTCTGCACAGCAGAAAAATAAAGCCAGAGACCCTCCCCCACCCCTGGTTTGTGCAAAGATACTGGGTATGTAAACATGAGGAGGTAGGAGTTCGGGTCCTGGCCCCAAACATAGTTAAGCTACTATGACAACCAAGGAAACCCAGAGGGAGCACCAAGAGGGGAGCAACCCCCCGCCCCAAGAGGTGGGGAGGGGTCTGCAGCCTCATCTCCAGCCGAGAGCGGGAGGCGCCTCGCCCTCCCACACCTACTCCCTCCAACCCAGGCGGGGAGGGCACCCATGTGGTCCCAGGCAAATAATAATAATTAATAATAGAAAATAATAAGTCGCCCCAGTTAATGCTGCGTGCACGGCGGGCGCGGCCGGTCAGATCTGGAAGGGGAAGGAGCTCAGGTAGTCGCGGAGAACGGGGTTGAGGGGGATGCGCGCCAGGTTCTCGCGGCCCACGGTGGCCACGATGCGCTGGCGACACAGCTCCTGCAGCGGCCGCACGCGGCGCTGGCGCAGCGGGGCCCCCAGCATGCGGCGCGGCGCGGCCACGTAGTGCTCCAGCAGCTCGAAGAGGCAGTCGAAGCTCTCGCGGCTGCCGTCCAGGTGGAAGCGGCCGGCCTGGAAGTGCACGCGGATGCTCGTGGGGCCCGAGGCCATCTTCACGCTGAGGGCGAAGAAGCAGTTCCGCTGGCGGCTGTCGCGCACCAGGAAGGTGCCCACGGGCTCGGCGCGCAGCCGCTCGTGCGCCCCGTGCACGCTCAGGGGTCCCCAGTAGAAGCCGCAGGCGTCGAGGAGCGCGCTGCGCGCGTGATGCGCCGGTAATCCGCGTGCGAGCGGAACGTGCGGAAGTGCGTCTCGCCGGGGGCCGGGGCCGGGATCGCCGGGCAGGGCCGCCGGGCAGGCGCGGGGACCACGGGCGAAGAAGAAGAAGAGGAGGAGGAGGAGGAGGAGGAGGAAGAAGAAGGCTCTGGCCGCCGTCGGGGCTCTGCTGCCGTGGAGATTGCATTGTCGGCTGCCACTTGGTTGTGTGCTACCATCCTACACGAGGGGCCAGCCGGAGGGGTGGGCCATAGCGTCCGGGGGTGCGCTGGTGGGGGGGAGACGGGCAGTGAGCCGAGCTGGGCAAGTGAGGGGCGATCGGTCCCCTAGGGGCGAGGGCGGAGCGCCAAGCCTGCGCGGTGCCTTTGAGCCTCAGTGAGCTCATCTGGAAAATGGGCCTTTCCCGTCCGCGGAGCCCTTTCCAGGAGGCTGGGAGAATCCAGCCTCCCGGGCGTGCGGAGGGGGCGTGGAGAGGCGCCCGAGAAGCCGGTCCGACTCCAGCCGTCCGGCCCGCGGCCGCCGCCTGCTGGCCATGCTGGGGACTGGCGCCTGGTCGGGGCGGTTTGGGCAAAAGCAGGAGGACGGCTGCCCTGTGGGAGCCCCGCGCGCGAGGGACGGCCCGAGTGGGGCCGACGGGGGCCAGAGGCGTGGCAGCCGCGATCCCGCACACAGCCTGTGAAGCCTGCCGGGCTCCGGCTGCCCTGCCCTTCCCTTCCCTTCCCTCCACGTTCCCTCCCGCCTCCTGGCTCACTTGTCCGCTCACCTGGCGGCGGGGCGCGGGACGCCGCGGGCGGGGCGGCGGGGGGCTCCGGGGCGGCTCTCGCGCATGCTCCGGGGCCGGCAGCCGTGCAGCTGCCACGGCCGCAGCTCGCTCTGCTGCCGCCCGCCCCTGCACCAGGCTTTTAAACTGGTTTGGGGGCGGGGCCGCGCGGAAGCCCCGCCCCCAGGCCCCGCCTTCGCTTTCAGTTTCTCTTTCTGTGCTCTTGCGCCCCTTCTGCTTCGCCGACCCTACGCGGGAGCGCCTGTCCCCTGGCTGCGCCTCGCACCTGTCGGGACACCCCTGCATGCGGGGGCTATGGCGGCATCCCGGAGCCCTCGGGCCCTCCTCAGACGCCCCCTTAGGACCTGCCGCCCGCACTAGGGCGCGGGCTACCTTGGCGCCAGGTCCCCTGCAGTCCGGCCTTGAGGGCTTGCACCGCCGCTGACACGCCCCCCTCCCTCCAGGGGTCCGCGTCCTCCTCCCTTGCAGCCAGCTCCCTCCAGGTAGCCCCGGGATGGCGCCGCCTCCCCGCCGCGGGCATGCACCTCGCCCCCGGCGCCCCGAGACCTCAGCCTCCCTCGGGACCGCTGCCCGGCCCCCGGGGCCCGGCCGGCCCCTCCCGGCTGGCCGTCGTGCGGCTCTTGGCTTGGGCTTCTCAGGAAACAGCGCGCTGACCACAGGCTTCAAAGGAACCCTCGGGCGGCGCGGGAGGAACGCCTGACTCCAGGCCCAGTTCCTCGGAAACCGGGCGGGGCCGGGCTGGGTGCCCGGCGGCCTCCACCCACCCTCCCTGTGCTCCCGCACAGCTGGAGAAGCTGAGACTCCGGAGGGTACGTGATCCGCACCGGCTGGCGGATCCGGAGCGCAGGACCTGGCCCGCACACTGCCAGTTTTTATTTTGGGGGGAAGACAGCTGGGCACTTCGAAGTGCTCCTCCTGAAAAAAAGTAGTGGGTTCTTAGATGTGGTTCCAAAACCCTGCTTCCTCCCTCTTCCCTTACAAAATGCCCCCTCAGTGGCTCCATCAAGCCTCTGCTCTTAATAAGTCTTCTCCACCCCCCACCTCTCCGCACACTTGGACTTGGGATGGCGGGGTGGGTGGTCAGGGCTATAATTTGGACACCTTGGCATTGTTTAAGTGATCCTGTCCTTCCAGACTATAGAGTATGTGCCTGGCCTGGCAGGTGGTGTTTTTGAATGAAGGACAGGAGTGGGGACAGAGTCAGGAGGGGTCACAGGAAAGATACTCCCTGAGCCAGAGGGTTTGGTGACCAGCCTGGCCCTGGTCCACAGTGCCCTCTGCAGACAGCTCTCAGGTTGCAGCCCAGGCTGCTGCTCAGGAAGCTCTGGGGCCTGGTCACCCTGTCCCCAGACAGTCAGATGCCCATGATGTCTCCTGAACCAGCCCATCCCCCACTCCTCACCCCACCCCCCCCCAACCTTCAGCCTGGCTCAGGGGCTCCTTGGATTCACTGTGGCCAGAGCTGCTGTGTTCATTGGTGTGGCCCCCCTGTGTGTGACGTGGGAGTAGAGTGGGGGGGGGAGGCAGAGCTAAGCCGAAGGCCAGGGTCAGCAGTGGCTGTTCCAGAAATGTCCACTGAGCAGCTGCTGTGGGGCCATGTCCTCAGTGGAGAAAAGGTGCAGTATGGGTAAAGCCAGACTTTGAATCCAGACCCACCTCTGGTGCTGCCATCTTCTAGCCTGTGATCTTGTGTAATTTGCCCCTCTGGCTGGGGGGGGGGGGGTCTGTGAAGAGGATAAGCAATCCTCCCTCTAGGTTTATAGCATGTCAGGGAGCAGTCATGGGTCCTTGCTGGTAGTAACTGCCCTGGTATGTGTTTCCTCTTGTCATTGTTCATTCCAGGGTGTCACAGACATGTTTCTGTCTTTCATGTTCCTTTTAGAAGCCCTACCCCCAAGAGCACAGGCTGAAGAGGGCAGTGTGGGAGAGGGGAGACCTCTTGAGGTGCAGTGGCCCCTGGGAGTTTGCAGCCAGAGGATGGCACCTCGACTCTGACACGGTGGCAGGGGCGCGGGCAACCTGTCTAAAAAAGGTGGCCAGGCTGGATGGCTCTGCAGGCCTGTGCCCCTGCCAACAGAGCAGGTCTCTTCACAGAGGAAACCCTGTAACTAGCCAATGGTCCTGATGACTCCTGCCTCCCATCGACAACCTTAGGAGCCACTTGGAAGAGCCACCCTCTTATCCCTGGGCTGGGGCCCTCCTCCAGCCCCACACCCTTGCATCCTCTGCCATCCATCCCCACTGCCCCACCTTCCTCTTGTTTACTGGGACTGGGTGGCCCACGCTGACTGAACCATGGATCAAGGACTCTTAAACCATCGAGGGGCCAATAATCTAGAGTGTCTGTGGCAGCTGAGACTTGGGGTATCACTTGCTCAGGACACACAGATCAGCCCTTGCTCCTGTCCTCTGTGCAGTAACTCCTCCTTGCCCCCCACTCCACGTGGTCTCCATCCTGGACTGTCTTATACCAAAAAAAAATCCAAGATCCACCTGAGTCCTAAGCCAGATGTGAGCCCAGCTGTGCTGCCCTCTGGTTATAAGTGCAGAAGGCTGCAGGTCTTACACTGGTGGCTTCCAGTCATCCCAGTCTCCATTTCCTGGCCTGTCCAGTGGGTCTGACTCCTTCCTCCACCCCGACTAGGTTGCAAAATCCACAGTGACTCAGGCCAACTCTCTCAGCCACAGGTTCTCCTCCCCACCACCACTGACAGTTATACAGCTTTGGTTTCATTTTCTGAAGCCCTAAGTTCAAAATGAAACCAAATCCAGATGCCAGAATGGGAAAAAAAAAAAAATGCTGATTGACAGGCGTCTGCCACTTCGCTACTGAAGGGCTGGCCGACTGCCATCTCCCAGGGAGCCGCAGACTCCACAAAAGACTGAACCAGGCCTGCCTCTGCCCAGCTGTGGCACTTTTAGCAAACACCTCACCCTTTCTGGGCCCCATTTGCCTCTTATGTAAAATGGTTCTGGATACTTTGTGCATCACAGGTCAGTAGCACATGCAAAGCCCAAGGCAAAGGGCCAGGTAGAGAGTGACCAGCACAGGGACGTTTTGTCCCAGGGCACACGAGACAGCCCTGTGTCCACAGCTCACTAAGCAGAGCCTCACATGTAAGACACTCCAACTCCTTTGGTGCAAGGCAGAGGCCCGGTAGCAGCCAGGGAGTCAGGAGGCCACACTGGGACTCAGTTTTTCAGTTTCTCTTTCCAGCTTGGGCAGTGCTTTGCTGGGAAGAGCACATTCTGAAAGTCCTCTCTGCCCCGCTGCTCCTCAACCCTGCTTTTCCTGTAACACGTTGATCAGCGAGGTTCCTAGACAGACCACGCCCCTAGGAGCTCAGAGTGCGAGTGGTGCGGTTTGCTGGGCTAGGTAGAAATCTGATGCTTCGTGCATGCAGTGTGACTGCAAGATGGGGTCAATAACAGATATAGTTCACTCCTTTGGTATTCAGGAGGCATTTGTTGAGTACCTACTGTGTGTCAGGGACTGGGGACTCAGGAGTCTTCAACCAGACACAGGGAGACACCTTACCACTGTGCTGGACCTGGGAGTCCCTATACCAGGGAGCTGGGAGCAAGGAGTCCCAAGGAAGAGCTGGGACATCTGTGCTTTGGAGGCCACAGCCCAAGTTCTGGATCAGCACTCACTCCCCTCCCCCACACTCCTGGAGAAGGATCCTGTTTGTTGAGCTCTGGGCCACGCGACAATTTTTTTTGCTCTGTTACCTTATCTGATCTTTCCTGTGGTTCTGTGAGGTGACAATTTTGTGGTGCCACTTTCAGATGAGGATAGCACAAAGCAGTCGGGGAGCCCACGGCAGCTGGCAAAGGCGTGGGAAATCCTGAGCTGAGCAGACCTGGCTTGAGGCGTCTGTCATGTCAGGTGGAACTTCGTCTCTCCCATTCCCGCAGAGGGAAAGAATGTGTGCTGAGGGGTGCAGAACCAGGGGCCCCCAAGCCCAAGGACAGGGGTTGAAAGGAATAAAGACAGGAGCCAGCAGCT